GGAAGGAAGGAAGGAAGGAAGGAAGGAAGGAAGGAAGGAAGGAAGGAGAAAATACTCTCCTTACGTAACTAATCCCACACCTTACTGATTTTGGTGGATAGAGGGTTGGAGACAGGGTTTCTCTATGTAGTATTGGACCCGCTTTGTACACCAGGCTGACCTCAAACTCAAAAGAGATCCACCTGCCTCTGCCTCCTGAACTCTGGGACTAAAGGCGTGCACCACCCCCAACCCTGGCTCTTACTGATTTTTTAAACCTAGTTTAACTTCATTTGTTATTGGTATATGTTTGTTTTTTATGGATATTAAAGTATGTATTATTTCAATTTTATTTTAAGTTTATATTCATCTTTTTGTTAAAGTCAAGATGGTATTTAGAGATGACTTTTAAAAAGTCTTTTGATTCATTGACATTTAAATAAAAAACCCAATATTTTAAGTTAATGCAAATTACCTGTATTATAACATTTTCTTAAAACAATAATTTTGTGCTGAGTATAATAACAAATGCTTTTAATCCCAGCATTCAGGAGGCAGGAGCAGGTGAGTCTCTGGATTCCAGGCCAGGCTTGTCTACAAAGTGAGTTCCAGGACAACCAGGACTACACAGAGAGACCCTGTCTCAAAAAACAAAAACAAACCTACTAATTTCTGATGTATTAACAAAAACAAAACGTCATATTTGCTTATGTTCAGTTTCTTCTGTGAGAAACACTAGATTAATGGTTCTCATTCAGGACCATTAGCTCTCCACAGAACATTAGACAAAGCCTGGAGACATTCTTGATTATAACAATTTCAGGAGATGTGCTATTTGCATTTAGTTGTTATCAGATAAGAAAGCACAGCCTAGTCCCCACACAAAAAAAATCTACTCTTCTATACTAATATATGTGTTCACATACCCTTACTTTCTGTATAGCTTTGGCTGTCCTGGAACCCTCTTTGGAGACCAGGCCTCAGGCCTGGAACTCATGAGATCCACGTGCCTCTGGAGATTAAAGGCATGCCCTACCACTGCCCAGCACCTTTACTTTTCTTAGTATTGCTACCAAAGTGCAAGAGTATGTATTCCGGTGATTCTGGAAAAAAAAAAAAAATCAAAGAAAAGCTGTAAAGTTGTACTTGGTTTTGGTTTTTGAGGCAAGGTCTCACACTCCGGGTCTGGATGGCCTGAGTCTTGCAGGAATCCTTCCCAGTGCCAGGTCCAGCTTCAAAGTGTTTCTTTAGAAGAAAAGTGAAAGTTTCCCACTTTCCCACGTTAAAAAAAAAAAAAAAACTGTACTAAATTGGCTAAAGTTTGTAGGAAGAATGAACCTTCAACCTCTGAAACTGTAAAGATGATGACAGCAACAGCAACAAAATTCACGCCAGTTTTGGCGTCATAATTTAAACTGCAAGAGTTCCACAGCAATAGTGTACTGATTCCATCAGCGAGCGCTTCCACTATACTCCGCGTTAGGCTTAAAATGGTCAAGTATTCCATCAGCGCTTCCACTATACTCCGCGTT